TAAATTGACCCAAGTAAAGCGTCATCAAATTGCTGAAAAATTGGAAGAGTATGCTGTTAGGACCGACCAACAATCAATTGAGGATTTTTGTAGGTTGTACATTATTTTCGCTTGCAATACTTTCTTATTGCCAAAGGGCAACTTTCAACTGCCGAGGTACTTTTATCCACATGTTGACAAATTGGAGCGCGTAGGAGATTTTGTGTGGGGAAAGTTGGTGTATGATGTGCTCATTGAAAATATTGAGGCACACTTGGCTGGGGCAGGAGGGTATTTTGATGGTTGCACCATTGGGTTGTTGGCATGGGTGAGTGAAAAGATCACTTCTTTGGGATTCGCAATAAGCGTTTTCGAATACCCAAGATTTTTTCGATGGTCCGACTCTAAAATACCAGCCGATGAACGTCAGGCTAAACATCTTTTTAGAGAACTCACACCAGACAAGGTAACAATTTTGATTTATGCATTTTCATTGTGTTATTTGCTTACGTAATAAACTAATGTACAATTTGTCTATATGTTTATTAGGTGATATCATTCTCCGTGCACAAAGAAGAGAGAAAGTTTTTGGTTTCACCTGTGGAAGAACTATCTGGTCCTATTGTTGCAGCTTTGGAGGTCGGTGGAAAAGTCGAAGTCAGGGGTGTAAGTGAAGAGTACTATTAATGAGATGGACATGTCCCATTTGTAAACCAACGTGATGTTGTTGTATTACACTAATCATTGTTTATTTTATGTGAACTGCAGCAGCATTTTGGAAATGCACAACAAGTGAAGAGGAAGAATGTGAGATTGGAAGAGACAGAGGGGAAGAAAAAGAGAAGAAGAGCTCTTATTTTTTAAGAGGAAGAGGAGGAAGAGGAAGAGGAAGAGGAGCAAGATGAAGGGAAAAAAGAAGTGGAGGAGGAAGATAAATTTTTTAATGCTGTTGAAGAACTTGGAGATGAGGAAAAAAAAGAGAAAGAAGGAGAACAACAAGAAGAAGATGAAGAAGAAACCTTGATAAAAGTACTGAACATGGAGAGGGAGAGAAGGTCGAAGGCAAGAGAAGACAATCGAAGAAGAAAGAGTCGAGGACAAGAAATCAGCGTAGTCTCTGCTAAACTGCCCACAACAGTAATTATTCCTTATAATTTAATAATAACTATTATTATTATTATTATTGTTATTACTATTATCACTAATGATTCTTTTGGATATAGGTTGTCGTAGATAATTCTACGTACCAGGGGAGAACAGACTATGTATGTCGAGATGAGCTTACTGATGTAGAGAGGGCAGTACTGGATGGGTACCCCGTTGATGTTGATTTGAGGTAAAATCACTAACTTACTGAACATTTGGTATATAATAACTTCTTATGTAGTATCGGCGTACTTAACAAGTAGTGCATGTTTATTTCTATTGTAGTGCAACTGTGATCGAAAGAGGCCCCAACGTATTGACTGGAAAGCATATGTGCGATCTTTTGTTTGATCAGCATCTGAGTGGGGAGCACATCAACATATACATGAGCCTGTTAAATTCCGAAGCGATCATGGATGAACATGGGCATGAGATTGATTATCTCGAGACCCCTGCCCAGGTATATATTGGTTTAACAAAGATGTTGCATTCTGTGTATACTGGTTTATCTTATATTTTTTTTATTATGTTTCGTAGTATGAGATACTGGCACGAGATCGAATGGACTTCAGAAAGATGGGTGATACAGAGTTGGATACCTTTTTAAAGAGCTTAACATATTTTGGATCTACCGCAGTTGAGAAGCTTGGAATAGCACGTCTCTACAGCAAAAAATATGTTCTGATACCTATAAATCCCAAAGATCACTAGTTCTTGCTTGTGTTGGACCCAAACGAAAAAGTTTTTCGGCATTGGAACTCCCTAGCCCATTCTCCGACGAGCCCAGGAATTGCAGATTATATCGTAAGTCCTTAAATCGATTATTACTTCTTTAATTTATATATTGGGGAATGTGGTATATGTTTTATTAATCCATAGTTTGGGTACTGTGATTGAACGGTGCTGCAATATGGTAATGAAAATACATGTATACTAATATAATAGTATATTTTTGTAGGCGAGTTATTATAGCAGGGTGATTGAAAATAAAACCGCGTTGGATATACCTTCACATGTCGAATGGGTAGAAGGATGCAGACAACAAGAAGGGAATGATGATGCGGGATTTTTGTCTGCATGTGGGCATATTGCCATGCTAGAGATGACGCTGAGACTTGGGAAAAGGCGAAAACTTGCTTGATCAAAAAACTCCGTCCAAAACTAGCACTTGTCTTCTTAAAGCACCAGGGCGTGGATAGAGAGGCAGAAGATGCTGATGCTTTGAACATATTTTGAACAATTTTTAAAATTATTTTTGAACAATCTGTTTTATGGGTGTTTTTGGGTTGTGATTGTCACGAACAATATGCTTTTGACTGTCTTTGCATGAACAAGTACTTTTAGATTAGTGTTTTCGTGCGATGATGGTTTTAAAACTTGTCCCATTTTTGTGGTGTTGTGACACCTATTTTGAATAGTGTAAGTGTTTTGCAAATTAGTTTTTAATACTATGTTAGTTTCTTGTCGATGCGTATAACCTACCCCATCTATACCATTATGTTGATGACTTGAATTGCTCAAATTTGTTTTGCACATTTGTGATCCATAAGTTTGGGAAAGATATATAATATGTTTTAAATTAAGGTTGTAAGGTTTTTTCAGGTTAGTTTTGACTTTGGCGTCCAAAATGGAACAAATGTATCGAAATCCTTACAAGATACACTACTAATGTACAAGGCTTCTATGTATAAGTGATTGTTTTCATCACAAGTGACCATATTCAATACCTATCAACTCCCAAGTTGTCTCAATTCTTGTAAACGAGTCACAAAATGAATAAATGAGGGATGAGATGGTTTTCTATGGTTGTATTGACCCCAAATGATACTATAACAAGGCTACTATTAGTATAGTACATAAGTACTATATCGTTGGCACACGGATACAAAACAACGGTTCCGTCCATCCATATACACGCCACCGATAATACTAGTCCTTAGACCAATCAATACCATAATATTGATGGCTTGAATTGCTCGATATTTGTTTATACATTTGTGATCCATAAGTTTGGGAAAGACATATAATATGTTTTAAATTAAGGTTGTAAGGTTTTTTCAGGTTAGTTTTGACTTTGGCGTCCAAAATGGAACAAATGTATCGAATTCCTTACAAGATACACTACTAATGTACAAGGCTTCTATGTATAAGTGATTGTTTTCATCACAAGTGACCATATTCAATACCTATCAACTCCCAAGTTGTCTCAATTCTTGTAAATGAGTCACAAAATGAATAAATGAGGGATGAGATGGTTTTCTATGGTCGTGTTGACCCCAAATGGTACAATAACAATAGTACCATTAGTACAGTACATAAGGACAATCTCGTGGGAACAATAATACGTAGATATTGTACGATTCATGCCTGAGTTGTGAACGTGATATACAGAACAGTAGAAGAACAATAACTATCATTATATTGTATGAGTACATTTCTTACGAACAACAACAACTGATTCATCGATAGAGTTAATTTATTTGTAAGTACCCAAAGTACTTACACATTGACATTACAATACGATTAACGAGCTACAATACACGACACTAACTTTTAACTTGTATTGTTACGGTGATTAGTTAAGAAACATTACATAGGTTTGACAAATCATGTAAACTGCAAATATTACTAGGTTTAACACTATCAAACTTTGAATTACTCCAGCTTCATCTCTGGAATTCTTCACTTTACTTTCGCGATGAACTTGGTTCGTCGATCCACTCGTAGCTTCACTTTCTTCATATCGAGAATAGTTGTGGGAGAAAGTTTGCCCAATTTCAAATGGCTCACACCAATGAGAATAGCCATGGTCTGGGCAACAATAAAATAGCCTCCCTGGATTCAAACTTGTCTCCGAAACCATGATTATTGTTTTTTTCCCACAATCACGACGCTTGCAGTTATCTTTTTTATATTTTAAGCTACTCTTTTGAGAGTTGCTACTGGAAGAAGCCATGAATGAGAAGCAAATGAACATAATTAGGTGCTTTTTATAAGTTCTGACGACAAAAATAACGGCTATATTATTGTAACGGTCATAAAATTCAAATCGATTCATTTATTATTCTTATGTGAACTATATTATGTTGTACGTTATACCATATCAACGTAACAACAATACTATTGTAACTAAAACAGTGCGCTCTATTGTAACTAAAACAGTCATATCATGGTACATACAAATGGATAAATAGTACGAAGTACATGTCAACAAAGTACAAACAACATAAAAAGAAAGTAGAAATAGAGCAGTGCTACGGGACTGGTTGTTTGCACGTACGGCGATTATGTCCAGGTTTACCACACCGTGCACACTTCGTAACACGGGTTTCGACTTGTGATGGAATTCTTTTCGTCCTTCTACGGCCTGGTTGAGCTTTCGATGCAGGTGGATTAATAAATACATCTTCCGAGCCATGATTTGTTTGTGCATTGTACAAATCAAATTCCTCATCAAATGAAGGAATTGGATTAATTGTGTACTTGTATACTTCTTTGTACAAATCAACCCGGAAGCAAGGATCAACAAATTCAAATACCGAATATCCTTTCGACTCAATACATGCACATGCATGTTTGCACGGAAGTTTATCCAACTGCCAAGATTTGCAAGTACATGTCCTAGTCTCTAAATCAACACCATACGACTTATCCTTTTCATACACCTCATAACGCGTACCACTGGATCTGGTATATTTTAATAAGCGAGAGGTCGTATAGTTGATTAATAATCTCTTTTCAACTCTTGGACACACTGTACCAGCCATGACTACAGAATCTTCTCGTCGATTACCTATCATCTTCATTATTTTGATTCGTATCATATCAATCATGGATGGAACTGGCAAAGAACGTTCATCTTTAACCCAACCATTCTAACATTCAACTTGGTTACTGTTCATTATTCCCCATCTATCCCCAGAAAAGTATGCATTGGCCCAACGATTGGGATCAGAGTCTCGGATAAATGATTCCGCACGAGGCATTGATTGAACTATATGAGATATATGTTCCTCAAACTCTTGCCGAGTAGGAGCAATTGCAGCCTTATGTAGAACACTCACCCAATATGCTTTGTTGTGCAATGGATACGATCTTAGAACCTTTGTTCTAAAGTTATCCTCCAAATGTCGCAAACAATAAGCATGGTTGCTACCAGGAAATACCAGTGGAATGGCTTTAATAAGCCCCGAATGACGATCAGAGAAAATTGTGTAATTTTTCAATAAACCCCCATTGTGATAAACAAGAATCTCTTTCAGCTTATTACAAAACCACTCCCAATTCCTGTCATTCTCGGCATCAACAATTGCATAGGCCAATGTGTATAACTCATCATTTGGATCTTTGGACACAACAGAAAGTAAGCAACCTTTGTACTTATTTTTAATATGAGTCCCATCCAAACATATCATTTGCCTACACCCACGGTGGAAACCCAAAATAGAATTTCCAAAACTAATAAAGATCCGAAGAAACTTTTGAGTTTGAGGGTCAATCTCATAATCGGCACAACTACCAGGGTTATTCTGTTTTAGTGCACGACAATAACGTCTCAGTTTATCATAACAGCTCGACTCATCCCCATGAATGTCATACATTGCTTTTTCCTTACCTCTCCACGCCGTATAGTACTTAAGCTCCACACCTTACTTTCTTTGGACCTCATTCAAAATAGCAATTGGTTTGTAACCTGGCTCATCTCTCAATTTTTGTTTCATAAGTTGCGAAATCCACGTAGCATCGGCTTTGGGATGACCCCTTGTACGAAGAGTAGCATCACCACAACTGTGCTCAATAATACATTTGCGAATGTCGAATAACTTGTCTGATTTATGAACTGATGCATAAACCCTCCATTTGCAATTTTCAACAATGCATACGGCTATGATCTTTTGTTGATCATTTTTCTTGTACTTAAAGGTTCGATTGTTAGCAATGCAGTAATTTTTTAGCATAAACCTAAAATCATTAGCATCTTTGAAAATTTGATTCTCCCCGCGTATGCAATGTCTCCATGCATCAATTGAATCTCCAACCGGATTGTACTCAATTTGCAGCAACGGACTGTTGGAACTAACAGACTCACTGGAAAATGCAAAAACAATGAAACAAATTGGATTATTACAGTGGACTACAAATAAATTGTAACAATTGAAATAAGTACTTTGAGTGGAATGCTTGCATACGAGAACTCAATTTATAAGATACTTGATATACAATCATTCCATACTATTAGTAGCCTTATATGATACTACGAGCTTAGTTATTCTACACTATCACTATAGTAACACGATACTATGTAGTATTATATTCTATGTTATGATATCATAAACAAATTGAAAATGCATACAAAACAGAATGGCTGCATACCCGTTGCTGGGGGTCCTCCTTCTACGCCCATCAAGTTCATCAGTGCGGCTCACCATAATGTCGACCACACTCATGTGCATTACCAAATGCAATGTAACCATATTCACCACGTCTTCGTCAGAAGTCAGTGTGACAAACATTCTTTCACGGGGAGCCAAGTATTGGAGCACCAATTTGTCGGGATGTATATCGTTCCACTTCGTTAAGATAGATTCATAGATCTCCTTTAAAGTCGAATCATTCTTAATGGAAATGATGTGCAGATAATCACTGTACCGACAACTTCCAATAATACCAGCGGCGATGGGGTTTGATTCACCATTTGCTGCCATTGTGGGAAATTACAGTTTTTTTTCGCGGTTGGAAAACTAAAAGTAGTAACAGAGAATATGAGGAAAGGAAGAGGAGAGAGAAACAGAAGAGAAAAAATGGAAGAAAATGAGAGAGGAGAGAGAGTGTAGAAGAAACAGAAGAAAGAGGAGAGAGGAGAGAGAGTGTAGAAGAAATAGAAGAAAGAGGAGAGAGGAGAGAGGAGAGAGAGTGTATAAAGTGAAAAAAAGTGGGGTCAGGGACTGAACTGCATGTTTATGTTTGCTTTAGGGACTGACCCGCTAGTAAAACGTTACTGGGGACTGACCCGTATGTTTGTTTTTGAGTTGGGGATTTATCTGTACTTGTCCCTAATAATAATAATAATAATAATAATAATAATAATAATAATAATAATAATAATAATAATAATAATAATAATAATAATAATAATAATAATAATAATAATAATAATAATAATAATAATAATAATAATAATCACCATCATCATGATATTATACTTTTGCACGTACTTTCGTAGAGAAAACACACCACAACCAAACATATTCTCATTTCTACACATATATAAAACTTCAGTTCATCCAAACATATTCTCATTTTCTACACAAAAACCAATATATATACTTTTTCCATGAGAAATTTTGAAAACTAAAAAATCTCATTCGAAACATAACCAAACATCCCCTTAGTTGTTTTGGCCAATATACATTTTTGTTGTCTCGTATAGATATATGATGAAATTCACCGAATGTATATTATTTTGATCAATATTCTATTTTATTGTCTTAGAGAGATGCCTGATGAAATACATGGAGTATAGATTATTTTGATATCAATACTCCGTTTTGTTGTCTCTGAGAGACCTAAGGGATCCCTGGTGATATTCACGGAATGTATATATTGTTTTCGTAACAGGAGATGGGTCTTTCGTGACCATTGCTCGATGATGAATTTACCTTCTTATTAGTGATGCTCATATTGAAGCTACCAATGTATATTTTGCCGACCACTAAAGATTTTTTTCCTTATTGAGTGATATTTGAGAAACATATCATTATTGCTCTTATTGCATATATTACTTTTTCCAGATTCTATCGTGTTGCATTAATGGCAATCCCCATGGACGTATTACAATTTCGTGCCCAAATGTTAATTTGATGAAAAAAATAGTAAGAACAAGAGATGCTTCGTCTAGTTTTTATTTTGAACACCAAGCATATGTAGATGGAGTTTTTTTTTATTCTAAAATCTCAATTTTATGATTTGAATTGATATTGATTTTGCAATAATTCTATTCAGACCCATGCATCGTACGGGTCAAATTACTAGTAATAATAAATTCAATGTTTTCTTGAGTTGATTTGTCGGAATACTATATGTTTGGAGGGTAAATGTCTGAAACACCCTTCAAATTCATTACACCACATCCACACAATATAAGTGAAGATGAAGAGGGTTCAATTGTAACGGTTGTACAGGTTTTTGGGCAATCAATGGTTAGTGATCACTGATAAAATGCCAGGTTGCATGGAAAATGATAACAAGAATCATTACCTACTTCCTCAAGAAAGTCAAAAATTCCGGCATGGACATCAAGCCCAACCAAGATTTTCCCAAATCCACCAAAATCAAGAAATCAATCACCGCCTCCGTCATGAGTAAGAAGAAAAAGAAGTAGAAGAAGATGGCGAACAAAAAAAAAAATAAAAAAAAAATGGTATAATTGAGTGATAAAGAATCAACCCGATTTTGGGTTGACGAGTTATAATTCAAATGCATGAGAAAAGAGGCTATCAATGTAGAAGATGATCAGTACCTCAATTAGTTGGTAGTGCATTTCTCACCGTTGGCAAGAAATTAATATAATTCTTATAATTAATATATTCTTCACAAGTTTCACATTGTTTAAAAAGCCAGCACTACACATTTGCACTTACCAGTAAAGTTTATTAGTCGGGGTTTAAATTAAGAATTTCCATGTGTGGAACACAAATTAGTTTGGTTATATTATTCAAAGTTGCTTACATATTAGTTTACTAGAAATATATATATTTTTTCGAGCAACATCTGGTAGAAAAATGTTTACCTGTTCCGTCAACTCACGGACATCCCTGCCATCTTTGATGTTTTAGTTGGCACCCAACTCAACACTAGATACCCTTTCAGCAAACTTTAGTGTATGTAAGGTTTCATTATACGAACTAGCATCTGGATTCAGCTGCACAAACATAACTATCTTTGCCTGACCATCTGATAATCAACCACTTTTTCATTACTCGTTGCATAACCAATATTCAATATATTTAAATAACTAGCTCGTATCAAAAGAATTAAAAAAAAAAAAAAAAAAACCATCAATTATAATACCTAAGGAGCTCTGTAGGACTTGAGTGAGCTTGCTGTTACGATAAGGAACGTGAGAATTCTTTTGTGCCAAAGCAAAGATGACATCACCAAGTGCGGATAATGATTTGTTTATATGCTGTGCCTCTTTAAGTCTGTCTCCAGTTACTTCCGAGCGGTCAATTCTTTCACTTCCAGCAAGATCTACTAAATGAAGACTGCCTCGTAGAGAAGAACCACTCTTTAGATCCAGCCCCCGCGCATGAATTGACACAATACTGTATTCATCCATACGCCACTAATTATATACATATGCATCGATTGCATAATAAAACAAGAATCTTGAAAAACAATAATTATAGAAATACCTGTGTGATCTACTACTTCTTTCATTCATGGCAGTCGAACTTTTGGCTCTATTATTCAGTCCAATATCCATAAGTTCCAAAACAGCTGAGGTTGTTTTGACTACATGAATGCTAGCATCTGGCACGGCCAAACCATTGGGTTGCGACGTTGACAAAACCCCGAGTGTGTGCAAGTCAAGGATAACAAGTATTTTTGATGCAACATGTATGTAATAACCATTAATGGATCACAATTTAATGTCAAAAAATATGAGATTGGAAACATAATAATTTTAAAAAGAGGATATCTTTTTGCTGAATTGTCGTTTTTTCCGAGCAAATCGCGGACTTGTTCGTTATATATTTCCACTATCTGGACGGAAATTTCATATGTAAAATTGCTCTCCCTACTCTGTGAAATACGGAAAAAATTGTTTAAAGCCCGATAATTAACCCCCCATTCTTCTTCCGTTGCTCCATCAGGACCACTCTGGAGAGAAAAGGATTTCATTCACTTAACCAACAATAAATAATATAAGTTGAAATAACAACAACCTAATTATAGTTAGTTTCATACCATGGTGTAGGTTTTCCCTGAACCAGTCTGACCATACGCAAATATACATACGTTGTATCCATCCAAAACGGATTGTACTAATGGTTGTGTGTCTGAAAACACTTCAGCTGCAGATAATTCGAAATTTATGTTAATCGAAAATAACATATATAGATAGATAATTTTTTTTACTTGAAGTTAAAAATAAAATAACCTTGTGTTGCTTCTGGGCTATAGACTTTATCGAATTTGAAGGAGCGGAATCCTTCTTTGCCTCGTTTGAATGGATCCGAAACTATTAGGTCACCATTGTCTCCAATGTACTCAAAAATCGAATGTTTCCTTTTTTGCCCTGGTAGAAATGGCCTTATCCGGCAACACACCCTAATATCTCCTATTCAAATCAACACGTGAGGAAATACACCAATTTAGTGTGTGTGTGTGTGTGTGTGTGTGTGTGTGTGTGTGTGTGTTCTATTTTATGTTCAACTATAATGTGTCACCTTTTAACTCTTGTAGTTCATTGTGCAACTTTCGATCTTCAGCAAGAATTGAATAATAGTTATTCGCTGCATCATCTAGAGCCTTGATCCTTGACCCTGTTACATCGTTTAGTTTATATTAATATAAATTTCATAGAAGGATAAAAAAAAAACTAGAATTACCTAAAGTAGTGGATTCATCAGAATAGCTTTTCTTTGTTTTCACAATTTCTTGGTGTATCGACTGAGATGCAAATTTTAGTTCCTGAAATGAAATATATGAACAATACGATTGAAATCACTTAATCCAAATAAATGGATACATAATGATAAAGATTGTAGAGAGAGAAGCATTACACGTAGTGCACCGAGCTGAAATTCAGTGAGTGTATGGTAAAATTTTTCTTTCTTATTCCACCATTCAGATTTCGATTCAAGGGATGCCTCAACCTCCCTCACTCTATTTGTTGACTCTGCTTGTAATATTTCAACGTCTTTTAACCTGTCTTCAAGTTCCTTAACTTTATTTGCCGACTCGATTTGCAAGATTACAGACTCTTTTAACCTATCTTCGAGCTCCTTCACTTTATTTGTGGCCTCTGTTTGTAAGCTTAGAGCTAGGTTTAACCTTTCCTCAAGTTCATTAACTCTATTTGTTGACTCCGCGATTAGTAAACTTAGAGACTCTTTGGATATATAATTGAGGTGTAGTTGTTGAGGTTGAGCTTCAGCTTTACGTTGAGATCTGAGATTTGACATCTCTCGATTAAGATCGTCTTTCTCTTTCAACACTATTGCCATTTCCTGCTCATCCATTTCCTTTTTGTTCTTTTCTAGGTCTGCATTTTTTGGGTCACGAAAACAAAAGAAATAAAAGATTGATGCAATAATAGTTGAGCAAGCGAAATAAGTGAATATTTATACATCAGTCTTATTGTAACGACACGTAATTTTTTCTCCTTCCTTAATCTAATGATCGTCTATAAGCAGCTAAATCATATGGAAGTTGAAAACTACAGGGAAGATGAAACAAAGCTCATCAAGCATTGTTAATATATATATATATATATATATATATATATATATATATATATATATATATATATATATATATATAAATTTTGGCAAATTGGATATGAAATTTAAATAAACATCTTCGTACATACATACGTTATGGCAAAACACGAAGCCTTGCTATACCTGTGCCTCGTCACTAGTCCGGTAGTCCCTGTAATTTAACAACTCTAATTCTCCTCGTGAGCATTAAAAAATTA